AATCACCGAAGCGCGATTCTGATAAGTGTAAAAATATAAATATGCTGTTTGAACACAATATTATGTAAACGGATGATTAATAAGAATTTACTTCGAAATTCAAAATACTATTTCGCTTCTGCATGTACACTCATAAAAATATACAGGGTGTCCGCAAATTTCACCGACAACGTTTGACTGCATATTCACGGCGATAAATAAATACGATCTACGAAAAGAGAGTTAAATAAAAACTTTTTGGTTTTTGAGCTACAGACCTTCAGAGTTGTCAAAAATAAAACTAATTTAATTAATAACTTGATAACCCTTTTGCCGATCGAGTTAAAATATGGTACAATTATTGGACTATTATGGCGTATTATTACTTAAAGCTTTAGTCAGATGGATATACTGTGTGATAGATTTCTCCGGTTACCTCTCCCTTTTAGCGGTCAAAACTTTTACAGTGGTCGTATTATTTTAGAACGAGCAGCAACATTGAAAAGGTCGTTTTATTAAAAAAAAAATATTGTCGCTTGAGAAAATCATTTAAAGAAAATCATTCTTGAGAAAAATGGCATTATTTGCAGGTCTATATGTTTCGGTTTGCGTTGCAGTGTCACGGATTTAAAACTTTGAGTTCAGTAGGCGATGAAAACGAGATGTCGATTGTTGTGGCTATCAGGAAATGTCATTATTGTCGTGTTTCTTTAGGATTCTCATCACTCCACACATGCAAATTATGAAGTGTCCGCAGTGTATCAAGACAATTAAATCTATGTAAAACTAATGTTTACAAAACTTTAAAAAAACAACTCCTGTTCAAGAACTTGAAAATTTAGATCCTAACGAACGTTTACAATTGTACCGCTGTACGAATCTTGTTTTACTAGGAATGGAGTTGTAATTTTCATAATTTGCATGTGTGAAGTGATGAGAATCCTAAAGAAACACGGCAATAATGACATTACCCGATAACCACAGCAATTAACATTTTGTTTTCATCGCCTACTGAACTCAAAGTTTTAAATCCGTGACACTGCTACGCAAACCGAAACCTGCAAGTGATGCCATTTTTCTCAAGAATGGCGATTTTCTCAAGGGACCTTTTTTTTTAAATAAAATGACCTTTTCAATGATGCTGCCCGTTTTAAAAAAAAAACGACCACTGTAAAAGTATTGACCGCTAAAACGGAGAGGTCACCGGAGAAAACTATCACCAAGTATATCGATTTGACTAAAGCTTTAAGAAATAATACGCCATAATAGTGCAAATATATGTACCAAATTTTAACGCGATCGGTAATATGGTTATGAAGTTATTAATTAAATTAGTTTTATTTTTGACAACTTTGAAGGTTTGTAAACATAAAAACCAAAAAGTTTATATTTAACTTTTTTTCGCAGATCGTATTTATTTATCGTTGTGAATATGCAGTCAAACGTTGTCGGTGAAATTTGCGGACACCCTGTATAACGGTTAGTTGTATCTAATTTGTTTGTTCTTTACGGGTATATGATTCTTAAAGACAAATAAAAAGACAAATTGATAATTTTCTATTTGAATGAAAATATTAATATGATTACAGAAAATATGTTGCATCATAGTACTAATAATACCAAAGAGCAAGGCTAAGTAGAGGATAAAATACCTATATAAAATGACCACTTACCCGATAAACCTTAGTGTTGAGACAATGCTTCCGTGGCATATTGGAAGGAGTTAAAACATATTACTACGTGCTTTTCCAAGTTTTCTTTAGTGAAATGGCGACGTTTATCACTTAATACTAACTTGTGTAGGGAAAATGACCGTTCAACGTCTACTGTTGACAACGGACAGTATAAGAAATTGTTGTGGCATGAACTATATATTAATATATTTGCTGGTAACTCCTGATATGTACCAGATAAAACTTTCAAAATGGTGTATCCTGGATTTTTTTCCAACACTACATTTTTTCTTTTATCGTACTACTGACTGGCGTATATTATTGGCATCGTTTTTTTTGTACATCATCCATTATATCAAATTGTTCATTTAGGGACTGTCCATGTGATTCCAATTTAGGGAATTACGAAACTTGGGGTTCTTTAGTTTGTTTAATGGAATACAGTCTTCAACGTTGGACATGGTTCTTCAAAACCACATTTAAAATAATTCCCGTCTGTTTCTTTTCTCTTTTGGCATTTTACTTCACTTTTCCCCCTAACTAATAGTTGTTAATGTAACTTATGTTACTATTTATAAACAGTTATTTAAATACACACGGCGAATACAATTTACTGCAGATGCAAAAAAGAAAGGTATCGATGCGACACCAACTACTACAAGGTACCTTAAATAAATGAACAGTTCAAAACGCGAGTCAGCTGTGAAGGCCATCGACCCCTGCGACGGCTCTCTTAGACTCTGCACGTGCACTAAGCCATTACACTAAAAATGCCCCACACGATTATATGTTATTAATGTGGCTACCAATTCCATAATTAAGATTTATTATTTGTTAAAATATTAATTTTATAATTTGTTAAAATATTTAGTAGAACTTGAATTTTCAATACAGTTTCCTCATGCAGAAAATTTGATTTTCAAGTTGTACTAATTTCGTTTAATCCGGGACTTCACCGAATTGAGCTAAGCCTGGAAAGGCAATGCTGTTTGCAAATCAGACGAACACGGACGGCGCAACAGGCCTGGCTCATTTTGCGCATAAGCATCATCACAGAACGGCGACATGATGTCTCGGCTTTAGAATTCATCACAAGAAAGACGTAGTGCAAATCGTAACTACTAATCCCAATTTGTTTTGAACTTTGACAGTGTAAACTAACTTAATATCCATGTTAAAATAATGTATTGATACGCAGTGACAAAATAAGTGTATTTAATTTCAGTACAGAATAGGTTGTTCATCATAACTTTAACAGTAAGTATACGCTATGTATTTTGTTAGATTTGCAAATATAGAAAAATTATAAAAAAAATCTTTTTATAGACCTTTCAATAAGCAGTTTCTAAAATATGGATACCTACGAGCAAAAACTTTTCTCACAAAACATGTCAGTTAAAAATTTGGTTGTCTGGAGACTTTTTGGCATCAAGCAATAACCTCTTTTTAATTCACGTTTTGCTTAGGATACATTATTTTGGTAAATTTCACGTATTATTAGATATAGGGTTAGTAAAAAACCCTCGTTAGCCAACTGGAGGCAATAAAAGTACGAAAGAAGAAAACGTAAACATATAAATGTTTTTTACTCATTTGTGAAGGTATTAAACTAATTCAGACAAATTTATAAAAAAATCTTATCAAAGTTAAACGATGGTCGATATCAGAAATAAAATTCCTAATTGTTACTGTTGCAGGGAACAACTACTCTATTGGCTGCATGCCCCGGCTAGCATTGAATAATACTACCAATATCGAGTAGATACCTAGTGATACCTAATTATCGAAAATAAAAACTAAAAGTGCCTAACTGTAATTAATTAAACAAACACATACCTGATGAAATTGTTAAATAATGTAATCATTCAAAGACCAACACATAAAAAAACAGCTACTATACAGGGTGTTCTGAAAATCCGTCAGGAAACGCCGGGAGCTGGTTCTACGGATTAAAATAATAGGAGTGTGTAATGAAAATTTTTCTCGAATTGTGAGGGAAGCGACGTTCCGCGCAGAGCGGCTGTGTATCTATGTACGCTTCCCCTCTTCCCCCACTACTCGCGCTCGGCCGTTTACACTGATGTTCAAATGCATGTTTCATCCATTTCGCTGCATTTTAAACTTGAAATATACGTTTTATAGTATTTTACTTCTAGTTTTGAAAACCGTATTAGAATTAAAATCCGACCATTTTTAACTCAAGCAGACTCCTGGCAAAAGAATGCATAAAAGATTTGAAATTGCATTTGCGCAAAAACTAATGGTCCGACAGCACCTACCTTTTGCACGCTTAAAGTTGATATAATTATCTACTTCTGTGCTGTTAATCTTCATAAATGACAAAGTTTTGAATTTTTTTCCGGACTTTCTCCGGTTCTAATCAACCGATCGAATCGTTTTATATCTCATATTCTTCGAAATTTAATTTCCTACAACTTTTCTATTTACGAAATTGAGATTGCTCTAGTAGTTTTGGTTTTATAAACAAAAAACTAAAAAGAAACGCATTTTTTGCACTAAAATGTTAATAACAAATTAATTAATGAGAGTTGCGAGTCGAAAACACATCAGAGTATATCTACGGACTGTCTTCTAAATGATGGCATAGGTGGTTTGCTGTAAGTATTTTTGTCACACAAAAAACCTATATTGACTAACCTGTATATAAAGTAAGTGTGGAGGGAACCCATGATTATTTTTTTAAATTCGTAACATGGCGTATCCATTACCATTCTTCATTGCTGAGTTACATTTGCTGATGATAAAATTTAATGAAAATTTGAAAATAATTGACAGACTCAAGATGGCGGCTTAAAATAGGTTAATTAAACTAATTTTAGGAACATCCTATTTACTGATTCAAAAATATATCAATTTATAGCAAGTAAAAACATTCGATGTACACTTTACTTTATTGAATAAATCAACAAATTGAACTTGGTGATAACCAATATGGTTATCATAAGGAGGTAACAAATATATTAACAAACAAGATTTTTTTTATTACCTGTTAAAATCGTATTTAAATTAAATTAAATAATTCAGACTAATTAATGTAATTACTGTTCTTCAGAAGATGTTAGCTGTGAGATTGTCAAAAGAAAGAATTCAACCATTTGAATTTCAGTAAGGTGAATTTTTGCTAGAATCTGAATTTTGAATCTCAATGAAATTGTTAAAATATCTTCGTCAAATTCGTTCGTATTTAGTTTAAAAATCCACTTTATTTCGTTTACACAAAATAAAAGGTAGATACTAATCCAACTTCAAATAGAGTCAAATTCGTATTATTACTTTTAAGAAAAATGCATTCAAATCAATAGTAACATTAATTTAATTAATTTTGCCTTGGAGTTATAAACTTTATTTTTAGTTCTTATGCAAATTGGTGTTCATACCAAATTTATTCATAAAATTACATAGATCACATACAAAAACAAACATAAAATTCTATATTATACAAATAAAATTATTTAGTTGCATACATATTTAGGTATCAAATAAAACATTTAACTGGCAGATATAGACCACCATGGCCAAAATAAACTGATTAACATTGAGAATTGTGCCACTGTCGCCAAATCTGAAAAAAAAACATTTCGTCTATTATTTATACTACAAGTTAAAATCATCTTTACTAAATCCTGTTCTCAACTTTGCGACTACCAGAATCTTTGTGTCCAAAGTTTATTACGAAATATCGTTTAATATAAATAGCAGAATGATTGTCTTACCTCATAATTATATTATTATACAAAAACAACAGTTAACTTCTGTTGGTTCTGTTGATTTGAACGGTGGGGGAGCAGGATGCTGATGATGTCGATGATGATGGCGGTGGTGGTGACCTGACGGGCCGAATTGTTGATGTCGTTGGTGGCAATGTGCTTCGTGGTGGTGAGGCCACCCGTGATGATGTTGTCCTCCGCCGAGATGATGATGGGATCATCTTAAGTTACTCTTCCTCTATTTGATAAACAGCTACTAAATTAATTTGTCAAAAATCACCTGTACTTATATTTATCAATTGTTTATTATCACCGGATATCTTATCAATAAAATAAATGTATATTAAAAATATATTTTCATGGTGTCATGTCTTTTTCTCTAAATTGCATACATATTTACAATTATATAGGAAAATGCGAGAAAAAATACGTCATCTTTGCGTATTTTTGCACTTTTTAATTTTTCCTACAAATGCACAACTTTTCCCTGCGTAAACTTATATTTTCATTGCATATGTATATTATTTTCGAGTGATTTTTACTAATATCTAATCTACGTCAAACAACAACCACACCTCGAAAGTTTTGGGCTTAATTATTCTTCTGGACTATTATTTATTTATTACAATTGTATTTACCAAGTAGCATTAGTTACACACTGAAAAAAAGTATTTGGATCAAATGAGCCCATAGTTTTAAAGGGAATTATTTGCCCTAAATGTTATTTTATTCTATTCAAATGTAATACTTTCGTCAAACTATGTGAAGTATTTGCTGTAATCTATCATTTTTCTTAGAACTTATATTATTTGTAAATATATATAATTTAATTCAAATCTTTTATAGTTTTGAACTTTTATCTCGGACTTTAGCTACAATATCTCTGACAGTTCATCATACATAGCAATAGCAAACATAAGTATTTGATTCAAAAGTATCAGTTGTAGGAATTATTCAAGATAAATGCAGCATATTATAATCAAACTTATGTTTTCTTGAAAGAAAATTGTAGAAGGTTACAGAATGACGTAGGTGGGAAGTAGCACCATAGATGGAGCCACTTACGCTCTTACGCCACATACATATCTCCTAGTGTATATTTGACACTAAAGCAGCTAGATCGTTCCAACGACATAATGATGAGGACCATCAATAAGTCCCAAACCGACCTATGTCTTAGGAACGATCCTAGGTGTTGTGAGTTTGAAACAAAATATTGTTTATTACTGAGAAATATTTATCCAAATATGTTCTTAAAATAAGTATGCACAATCATTTGACCGAGACTATTCAATTTTGTATTAAACAAACTATACATTAATATACGATACAATACATGTTTCTATAAAATCTATGTAGATCATAAAATTAAGAATAGAATTCGTTTAACCGTAAGTATAAAATATTTATTTTAAATGCTGTCTATTTTTAAAGTAAGAAATTATATTTTTGGATAGAAATTTAAAGTATTTAAATAAATAAATAATTTTCTTGAAAGAAGCAAATATGTTCTTGCGTATATATAAACGTGCGATACCTTAAATTCAAATGTTGTATATTTGAAGCAAGATTTTTTTTTGAACTTATTTAAAGAATTCTAAAAATTGATAATAGGAATATAAAACATTAACAGAAAAAATATGTCTCTGATAAATTTTATCAGTTGCTAAACAATACTTTTTAATGTTTATAGCTTATATTTAATCAGTACCTACATCTTGTTTTTCCAAGTCGATATCATAATTTCTGGAGGTTGTTATTTGGACCATTTCAGACTTAAAAGCTCAATGAATAAAGAGTCTGAATCCACTGGTTTTTATATTACCACCTGTTCAAGTTTTAAAAAATAACGTCTCAAGAAAAATGTTTTACTTATTGACAAAACTCAAAATTGTGATTTAATCAAGGCAAAAATGTCCATAAAAAATGAGTAAGTAGTTCCCGAGTTAATTTTTTTAAATTTAAGTTGAGGGTATGTACGTAATAAGTTCCCTAAATCTGAATATGTTAATTTGCAATAGTTTTTTCTAATAAAAGCAGGGTAGGTATACCAAAAACGAACCAAAAAATTTGAAAAATGTATAGTCACAAAAATAATGGCTGAAGTAATCGGCCGGCGTAAGCCATTCAATTTCCTGTCACAATACTTTACACAGCAAATAGTTGAAGTTCCGAAAAAGTTGTACTTTTTTAGAAATATTTTGCAAAGTGCTTCCTCGAAAACTTAATTGTACCATTTATACCTGGCATGGTTCACAATACGCCATATTTAGTAATAACTTATGACCTAGGGCAACAACGCGCTTTTCTTCAGTAGAAAATGTGCAGATTTTATTGATTTTTATTCTACTTTAAAGGACCCCGCAGGGTCCTTACGGAAATTGGCTTTGGGTCAAATTCGCTAAAACTTTGGGAAAACATAGAGAGTAGAACGAAAGTTCACATGGGTACAAAGTTCAAAAGTCCATAAATTTCGAGATATTTTCCCGTCATTTTGCCATTTTTAAGTGAATTTTTACCTCCTGTAGTGTTAATCAACCTTTGCCATAAAATATTTCAGTCTGAAAGCTGATTTGACCTTCATAGGGCTCCTAGGGATCAATCCAACCCAAGATCAAGTAAAATTTCTTGCTCTTTCAATTTCTAGATATAACAAATGGGATTTCTTGACCTCCAAATGACCTCTGGGTCAAAACTAAGGTCATTATCGTACGGTCCCTTTAAAACCTTACAACTTTTGTTCTGGAAGTTTTTCAGTTGGAGGTCATCATTCAAAGTTACTCGGGGTAATGGATCAAAATGGGACATCATATACATATAATGGATGTATTTTTTAACCTGAAACTTTCAAATATCTCGAGAAATAAGCATCCTACGAAAAAATTTCAAAAATCAAAATTTAATCATTCTGCGGGGGAAATATACTGAATGAGTAAATGTATGTATTGAATGTATGAATGTTGGGCGCCAAATGTGTGATATTATTTTAAAAATGTTGAATTTTGAGTCAGTTAATATGTAACAATGTAACAAACCAATATCAATGTAATAATGTATGTTTAAAGAATATTTCCAATTAATTTTGTAATTTTACTTAAAACTTCGCCCTATTCAGTTTACTTAAAATAAAAAAGATTAATACCCTTTCAAATAGTGCAAATTTGTATTATTATTTTCAAAAAAAATGGTCTTTATACTAAATTTATTAGACAAACATAAAATTGTATATTATACAAATAAAAGTTATTCATTTACACATATATGTTTTTATTTTATTTAACATTTTTTTTTGGCAGATAAAGACTTCTTCAGTAGATCGCAAAATTTATTTCCACCGCCACTATGGCCTAAATAAACAGATTCTTAATATTTCTTGCAAACGGGTACTAGGATAACATCGAGGATCGCCAAATCTGAGAAAAAAAACATTTCGTTTATTATTTATACTACAAGTTCAAATAATCTTTTTTAAATTTTGTTTTCTATTTTGCGGTTACCAAAATCTTTGTATCCAAAATCTACTATGAAATATCGTTTAATATAAATAGCAGAATTATTGCCTTACCTTATAATTATATTATTACACAAAAACAACAGTCAACTTCTGTTGGTCGACGAGGACGTTGTCCTGGCATGAATGGTGGGGGAGGAGGAGGGTGATGATGTCGGTGGTAATGGTGATGACGTGGCCCAAATTGTGGTGGTGGTGGACCGAAATGATGGTGTCCTCCCTGGTGATGATGTCCCCCGTGGTGGTGGGGTCCTCCGTGATGATGATGTCCTCCGCCGAAATGATGATGGGTCATCTTAAGTTACTCTTCCTCTGTTTTGATAAACTGCTACTAAATTAAATGATGTCATAAATCACCTGTACTTATACTAGTAAATTGTTTATTATCACCGGATATCTTATCAATGAAATAAATGATTATATTAAAAATATATTTTCATGGGAAATTAGTCATAATACGATTATTAGAAATATAATGTATCGATTACCTACTTAATTTGTATTTACCAAGTAGCATTAGCTGCATATGAAATAATTTAAAGACAATTCTGAAAACTGAAAATAGGTATATAATTTTAACAGACAAAATATATGTATTGCTAATAAATTTTATCACATGCTAAACAATATATTTTATGTTTATTAATACAGATCGTTTTCTAAATTGATTGATTGATCACAATTTCTAGGGGGTTATTTATATCATTTAAGACTAAAAAGCCTTAATGGCCACTGGTTTTCAAGTTACAAGCTGTTGAAGTTTTGAAAAAATAAAATATTTATTCAAATGTCTCAATAAATATGTTTATCCACGACTATTGTATAATGTACCCATTATACGTCTGTTTGCTCGACCTTAATGATACCCATTAATCACGGCAGTGATTAATGAGTCATTAATCACTACTGTCAGATGCTTCCTTAATTTAGCTATAATATTATATTGTTCTGCTACAAACAATCCGTTTTTAAAATTTTATCGTGTAAACCACTAAATATTTTCAATTCAGTGCTGTACATATAAAAAAAAAAATTAAAAAAGTGAATTTTCCTAGACCGGATTCGAACCCGGGACCCGCGGTTGGAAGGGAAAGAGCATCTACACTGAGACATCAGCGACTTCATTTGTGCGAGTCGTATATCTGTTTCTTAACATACCATGTTTTTCGAAACATTTCAAAAAAAACTTCAACAAAAATATTTAGTAGTCGTGGATAAAGTATAGTATTCTACTCCCGTATAATGGGTATTATTCACTCGGTGATTTAGGCAACTCGCCTGCGGCTCGTGGCCGTAAACTTTACCTCGTGAATTATACCCATCATTATACGCTCGTTGAATAATATACTATTAATAATATCGACAAAATACTTATCATTTAATCAAGGCAAATTTTTTGCTTAAATTTGAAATAGGTTAGTTTATAACAGAAAATAAGTTCATAAATTTTGAATTATATGCAGTATGTATCAAAAATAAACCAAAAAATTTCGATAATGTATATAAATCATAAAAATAACGGCTCAAGTAATGGGAACAGGTCATACAATTTTTTAAAATACTTTACTGAATATATAGAGGGCGTTAAAGTTAAAAAAATAATATATTCGAAATGTGCTTTCTCGAGAAACATGTGCCATTTATTATCTAGAGTAACATCTCGCATTTTTCAGTAGATTTTTGATTATTTTTCTGTTTTAGATTTTTGCGGTATATGAACAAAAAACATATAAATATTTACTTACTTATATCTCATAAAAAATTAGAGTAACTGGAAAATGGGAAACATTATGAGAAAATGGTAAGAATTTTCTTTTCTTCCAAATATACTGAAAAATTCAAGGGCGTAGAAACTAATTTTTTTTCGGAGATTCCCTGAACTGTATTTCCCCAACTAAACATTTTAGAACAAAAAATGTGTATGTCTAAAGCTTTGGTTTGTTAGAACTGTGCGTCGCAGACGACATACGCTCTTAGCAGAATCTGTAGCGTTCAACTTTATCGGTTTTGAAGGAAGAGTGTTTTGTTAGATTTAGTGTTTCTGATTGTATGCTGGTAAATGCAGACGAAAATATTTATTATTACTGCGGCAAAAATTATTTTTATCATGACATGGCTAAAAATTTTTTGGTGACAATACTTATTGAAGAAGAACATGAAAAAGATCTTTTGAATTTAATTAGTCGTTGTCAAAATAAAAGTGAAGATCAATGTTTTCTAATAGACATTTGGAAGGAATGGTATACAATGGGGGATGTTCTCGTACGAGATCGATTAATTTCTCGTCTTCCTCTGATGAAAACTTGTTTGCCATTTTAAAATTCGTTAAAAATAAACGCTTAAAGCTATGGTTTGTTAGAGCTGTAGGCGACGCAAAGCAGACAGTCAGTTGTGCGCGTCGGACTTACGCTGAAATCTAGAACACAAGAAGATGCGTAGCCGGTTTGTTAGATTTTGCTCAGGTGGACTCACGGTAGGCAGAAAATTTTGTGCGTCGTCAGTTCAGTCGAAATCAAATTTGATTTGATTTCAACGCAGTCGTTCAGTTGAGCTCACAGCATACAGTGCTAAAAAAGCGTTTATTTTTAACGAATTTTAAAATGGCTACAAAGTTTTCACCAGAGGAAGACGAGAAATTAATCGATCTCGTACGAGAACATCCCCCATTGTATACCGTCCCTTTTAAACGTCTGTTAGAAAACAATCGATCTTCACTTTTATTTTGACGACAACTAATTAAATTTAAAAGATCTTTTTCATGTTCTTTTTCAATAAGTATTGTCAGCAAAAAATATTCAGTCATGAAAAAAAAAAAAAAATTGCCAAAATAATAATTATTATTTTCGTCTGCACTTATCAGCATACATTCACAAGCAGTAAATCTAACAAAACACCCTCCTTCAAAATCCATAAAGTTGAAACCTACAGATTCTGCTAACTGCGTATGTCGCCTGCGACGCACAGTTCTAACAAATCAAAGCTTTGTTCCTAATTTTTGTGAGTTCTATGTACACTTGTTTGGTTCTCCATTTTTGTTACACCTTATACATATTTTTCAATAGAACATAATCTAAAAAATCGTTACACAAAAATGTTATAATTCTCTAGTGAATAGGATCAGGGAATAGCTACAAACAAAAAATTAAACTTCTGTTCTAAAAAATATATGTATAATGTATATCTTATCGTATAATTTGAGGACTACATTTATAATATGAATTTATTAAATTTTAGAAGCAAAACTATTTATTTCAACATGATGTTTTAGTGATACGTATAAGCTTTAGTAAATATTCTATTATCCCCTTCGTTTTTTTTTTAGTTGGTGAAAGTACTGGCAGTATAAACAAAAAAGTTTATTTACGGTTTCTCGTTAGAATGTAAGCTATAACATTACAAAACTGTTAAACTATGTATATGCAATTTTATCTAATTAAACGCGGATTAAAAATATCAAAAAGGGAACCTATACCTAATTCAATTAAAGAAAATACATTTTCTATCTTTTCCAATTATATGATTATTTTTTAAGTCTTTCTTCCATAAAAAAAAATAATTAAGGTTACAAAGTTGCAAAGTTAAATTAATTAATGTAATTTATTTACACGTACGACTATTAGATACAGATCTAATTCCAAGTAGGAATTTATCGAAGAAAAAATTACATGCCAAGTTTTATCGGTGTACCCAATAAACTGTTATTACTTATCAAAGATATAGACATATTACCTATTCTAAAAATAATATATAATATTTTTGTCAGTTTATGTGGACCAGATATACAGGGTGTACCAGAATAACGTGTACAACGGAGGACCACAGATTCGTGGGCTCAAAATAGGCAGATTTAGGCTAATTCACCTATATCCGAAATCGCTTCGTTTGGCCGCTAGATGGCCTCAAAATTCGTGAAAATATTTTGAATTTTGTAAATAACTCGAAACGTATTAATCGATTTTGATTATTTTTGGGGTGTGGACTTTTGATTTTGGTATTATACAGAGTGTTTTTTAAAACCCGCAACTCGTACAAAATTGATGTATGGTGATAATATCCGTTCATAACTTTTTCCTCTTTCGGGCAATAATGACAACAATTTTTTATCTGATAGGTGATACGATTTGGAAGTTTTTGGGCCTCTTGTAGAATTTTCATTAAATGAACGGTTTGGGTACAAAAAATATTTTTTAAATATCTACATTATCATGCCACCCATATTATAATAGTTAACAGTGTTAGTAGGCACTGATTTTGTAGGTTGACTGTAATTTCAGTCTGATCTTTAACTCATTGCACCTGACAATTCTTAGTGAGTGTTTACGACGAGATATACCACCTGTTACTTCATTTTTCAATATGACAGGTACATACGACGAATTAGAATTATTTACAACGTGCCTAATTTTATACAAAAAAAAACACAATAAAATACAACGCATTGATAGCATTATTATTGACCCTGTTGTGGTTTATGCATGATGGAGCTCCACCACATTTCACTGTCAATGTCCGGCAGTATCTGAACCAAAGATTCCCTCGTCGATGGATCGGTGGAGGGGATAATGTTCCTGTTAACTGGCCTGTTCGTTCACCAGACTTAACACCTTGTGACTATTATCTTTGGGGTACTTTGAAAACAGCAGTGTATGCTTTCACATCTAACACTGAAGAAGAGTTGTGGGAGACATATCCAAGTTGCCATAAATGTTTTAAAAAATTGCCCTCAAAAACTGCAAAGGGTGTCCTTTAACATTCTTCGCCGAATTAATCTTTTTTTGTTGTTGTTATTGTTTGTTGTGGTTATTTTGAATAGTTTTTATAATAAGTTGTACTAAATCTAATAACATCAACTTTGTTACTTTTATCTCCAGCATTTTTTATTGTATTTGATTATTTTTACTAATTATCTCAATAAATTTAGGCATGTTGTAAATAATTCGTCGTAACTGTGTGTGTATCCATATCGAAGTGACATGTGGTATATCTTATCGTAGTAAACACTCTTTAAGAATTGGCAGGTACAATAACTTAAAGATCAAACTGAAATCAGTCAACTTACAAAATCAGTCCTCCTAGCACTGTTAAGTATTGTAATATTGGTGGGAAGATAATGAGACATTTGAAAAATATTTTTTTGTACCCAAACCGTTCATTTAATCAAAATTCTACAAGAGGCCCAAAAACTTCTAAATGGTATCAGCTACCAAATAAAATATAGTTGTCATTATTGCCCGAAAGATGAAAATATGAATGGATATTGTTACCATACATCTATTTTGTAGGAGTTGTAAGTTTTACTCTGTATAACAAAAAATGTGTAGTCCAGACCCCAAAAATAATCGAAATCGAATAATATGTATTCGAGTTATTTACAAAATTCAAAAAAATTTCACGAACATTGAGGGCATCTAGCGGCCAAACGAAGCGATTTCGGATATAGGTGAATTAGCCTAAATCTGTCTATTTTGAGTCCATGAATCTGTGGTCTTCCGTTGCACACATTATTATGGGACACCCTGTATAAATAATTTATTTTTGGTATAAATTAATTTTAAGTGATTAATGTTTTCTATTTAGATAGAGATTTTTTTAGCAAAAAGGACAGTGCAAATTTTTTAGCATGGGAAGAGTTTTGTCTGTCTTGATTTCTCAAGAATAATATTAATTACCTACATAACAAAATAGTGAAGCAAATACAAAGACTAGTTATGTATTTTAATGTTTTCTGACTAATTAATAACTATTTATCATACGACACTATGTTTTATGTAAATATTTTTTAAATACATTTTAGTTGTAACAGTTTTTTTATATTTAAACGTGTAGTACACTATAGCTCACGATTTACTATCAATTTTGATATAAAATCTGACAATATTTATAAGCAATATGTGCTAAAATCTGTCCATTGAAATTCGAATATCTTATATTTGTTCATTTCTATAATATGTATTTTGATCTCTATCTTTCACATTTAAAACATCCTTTTTAATACTTACTCTCTTTTAACCACCTAAAACTAAGTTACCAGCAACGATGTTTTGATGGTAATTTTCTTAATTTGTAATTGTTGTTATCAGGGCTATGAAATACCAAACTTTATGTTTTTGATTAAATATACACTGCACCTGTGTAAAATTTTAAGTCATTCTTCTGAATTAATTTTAGATAGTGTAACAGACACTAAACAGTTTTTACTTAAATATACTTACATATTTTTTTACGAATTTGTAAATACAGGCTGTTACAATTTCGCTTCTCACTACAGGGATCTGGGAAACGGTAAGAAATGCGAAGTAGCTTAAATGGGAGCAACGTTGCATAACCAGGGGATCAACATTATGCCTCTAAAAAATCGAGGCTAACATGATAAGTTTTATAACGTATGATGGTAATAGTTCAAATAACTTTAGATAAATTTGGAACTAATACATTGAAGATGAATTTTTCGAGACAAAACGTCTGAATCTGGTTCGGGCTGAGGCAGTATGGGGGGTCATGAAGGCTTGCAAAAAATGTAATAAAACTTGCAGGGTCGTATTTAAAAAAATTAAATTGATGATGGTCCTGGAGAGACGAAACGTTACATATAAAAATTGATTATGCCGTTCGAAAGAGGGCAAAAAATTGCCATGAGAAAGTGTTCTTTTTTCAATATCACCCGAAACAAGGCTGAATTGAAACAAAAACGGATTTCCAAAATTTCGTTTTTTTTTCAAATATTTGGAAAACTAATCATGTTAGCCTTGATTTTTTAGACGCATAATGTTGGTTCCTTGATTATGCAACTTTGAAGTAGTCATTTAAGCTACTTCGTGTCTCTTACCGTTTCCAAGATCCCTGTAATGAGAATCGAATTTGTAACAGCCTGTATATTTAAAATTGTTCTACTTTTAGGCAAAAATAAGTTAAAAGCAATGCCTTCTTTCTCTTGGTGGGACTGTATTTTTTTATATTAAGATATATTTTCTTCGCAAGGTGTAAAACCCGGTTATATACAAAACTCCTGCGGTAAAAAAAAGTTTAGAATATATTGTAATCAATACGTACTACCTTCCATTTTAAAATTACTTTCCTCATATATAATGCTGTTATTAAAATACTTTTACTTGAATTAAAATAAACTTTCACAAAAATAGCACTATCTGCTTTTATGACGTTATTTGTTTGAATAATACTATTATTTTCTAAATATGTTTATAAAGTATAAACTTAGTTAATGAATGCGTCAATAAAATGTAGCATGAAGGTATGTATATTGTAATTAACTATTACGGATTGAGCAAAAAATTAATTATATTTTAATATCGGTTTATACAATTCTAGATATTTTGAAAAATCTTCTAAATAAATAAAGATACCTGTACATAATATGTATTTTTCATGTTTTACTCCATATCCTCCTATAAAAATGTTAATGTATTTAAAGATATCTTATCTGTAAAGATAATACGTATCTACGAATATCTACTTACGTACTTACTTACAAATAATTTTTACTTTGAAGTATGGAGAGGTACTTTTAAATACAATTATTGTTAATGTTATCTTTCAATTAAATCTTCTCATGAAATTTTTACGACTTATAAAGAAGATATAAAGTTATTTTTGGTTACTTTTGTTCAATATTTTTACACTTTCTGTCTACTAAGGTTTTGAGGTGAAACATAAGCTAGTTTGACTTTTTATAGAAGATGTTTGGTCAAACTACAAGTCTTTAAGGTGCATAACACAACTGACAGAAATGTTGTACATAATTCTTTAATTCATTAAAAAATAAAGTCACTATTTTAACAACTGCCATCTAAAAAGACAATTTAATAGTTTAGCAATAATTACTATATAGTTAAAACTTTTATAATTAATTATATTGGAACCAGTACATCTTAACAACACACATTTGTTAAAATATCTGGCAGAACGCGTTAAACTTGAAAGTATTTGTAATAAAAAAAGATAGGAGCGGTATGTTACAGAAAAAAGCAGAATTTCAATTAAATCATTTCAGTTTTTTTGTGAGTAAAAAATTCTTATCTAGAAAATGCAGCATATTCAGACACGTTTTCTTAGAATTTTATTTTATGACGTACAATACGTCATTAAAGTTTGGCCGAGTTAGTTATACACAAATACATGCATTACAACGAGACTAGAACGTACCTAATTAAGTGCCTAAATCCTTTATTGGAAAACAACACGATAAAGGAAATATATAACAGTATATGCAGCTACATCGTTTGGATAACACGGATGTTAATGTTGACGAAGGGGGACCTTCAATAGATGTCACAGTGTTGGGTAGTTCTGTAAATGGCGGAGGTATTTCGTCATAAGATGGAGCAGCTTCAGTAAATGGCGGAGGAGCATCTCCAAAAACTGTTGGTATATAGAGCTGTGTGCATCGAGGTCCTTCTAAAGTTTGTTGGATTGATGTCTCCATGTGTATTCTTTCACAACGTACTTATCTAGTATTCAAGTAATAAAATTGAAAATAATTATTCGTCTCTTCGAGTGTTTTAGCTCTTACTTTAAAGATTTGTTTTCCTTTCTTGACAATAATTTTTTTTCAATGCGGTATTATTGTAATTTCTGCCAAAATGATATTATCAGGGTGCTGCATTTGAAACATACATTTCTTTTTTATAGCTCTATTATAGAAATATTGTTCTAAACATTGAAAAAAAAATCTCACCTTTCAGCTATTAATTTTAATTTTTAGTACTCGCTATCTGACTTTAAAATGTTCCTATTCCACTTAAACCTACGGTCCTTTTTTTAAATTAACTATATCCCAGCTGCATTTCACGTTATTTTATTGTCCATAGGCGATAATTTGGTATCGGAAAATCTTTGTTCTTTGAAAGTGCCCGTAGGATTTATGTGACTTGAACGGTTTCACTGCTAAAAAAAATCTTGGTATTTTAATTAAATTTTTATAAATTTTTGCATTTTGCAAAAACGTTATTAACAATTTTGTAGGAAATTAAATTTGCTATAAAAAAGGTCCTTAGTGTCTAAGCTGTAAAGTTATTAGTTCACGAGATAAATAGAATCAGATGTGTGAAAACTTAAAATATCCTTGTCTTTATCTTTATAGAATTTCTTATAAAAATGTCAATTACATTTTTGCTGTAGTTATTTATGAGAAAAATGCAAGAATCGATAAAAATTTTAAAAATCACGATTTTTTAGCAGTGAAATCGTTAAAGTCACATAGATCCTACTATGGGCACTTTCAAAGAAGAAATGTTCCCCTATAATTATCACCTACGGGCAGTAGAATAAAGTGAAATGCAGCTGAGATATAGATAACTTAAAAAAAAACATCGTAGGTTTTCGTATTAAATGGATAGGAAAATTTTAAAATCAAATGAATGCTAAAAATTAAAATTAAGAGCAGAAATTTGGTAAGATATTTTTTCCCAATGTTTAGAACAATATTTCGTCAATGGAGCGAAAAGAAAGAAATGTACGTTTCAAATGAAGCATAGGGTATATGTTTAGCAGTTCAGTAAAAACCCTTACCTATTCCTTATATTGAAGCACTACCGAGCTTTTGTGGTATGTCATTGACTATTATGTGTATTATTTTGACAATATAAATCGTGAACACTCATTTATAAATTATTATCTGGTCGTCACTCTTTACGTAAGTTCATTACATCAATAATAATTACTATATTTACATTAGGTATTCTAGATAATTTTAAGTACGTAGTGACAAGTGAAACATGTTTTTAGTAATGTTGAATTAAACAAAAATGTATATGTCTATAAATAGTCATATGTAGACAACTTTAAGTTATTTGATAATAACATCTATTATACGAGTACATACTTTTTTTTTACAAATACACGTGTTCATATTCTTGCTGTTTTTATTACAAAAACAAATATAAAAGATAATAATGACATTTTATGGATAGATACAAGACCATTTTTAATTAGAGCTGCAATCGGCAGCATAATCAACTTATTATCTCCGTATTAAGAATTAATTTTATAATATATACTAAGCGGTTTGAACTTGACTTAATATTTGAAAGTATTAACACAATTTGCAGGTAGAACTGTTACATTTTATAATAATCATAATTAGATGTCACATGATTTTCTGGTAAATATGTACCTAAGTTTATCTATTTTTTGAGTATTTTTCCACGGAGAAAAGAATAATAATAATTAAACCTCTGGACAAACATATGAGTCAGGAATTGGTTTTTCTTAATCAAAAATGTCTCAGTGCAAGGAACAGATAGGTAAAAAATAAAAATATTGTTGTATTAGTTATGTGGTTAACATTTCGACTACCTACCCCTCGTTTGCAAATTAAAAATTTATAAGTACATTAATAATATAATATACAGGGTGTAATAAAACTAAGGTTACAAACTTTGCCAGCAGATTAGTAGGGGTACTTCGTATAAAATTATTGTCTAAAGTGCTTCCTTGTATGGATTTTGAAAAGCTGAAAAATTTTTTTTTCAAATATTTTGAAAACGGTAGAAGGGAATAATCCCAAAGGACTCCGCACAAACCTTATGGGTTTGAGTTCCCGGTCAATTCGTCGATCAAAAGTGTTCATAGGCCCAAAGTCTGGAAATAAATAGTTTTCGGGATATTGAGGACACAAAGTCTCAAAAAATTGAATATTTCCATTAACCAGAAAATGGAAACGAGCACTTTTGAAAATTATTATTATCCATTCTTGTTTATTTATGGGATTTGGATCAATTTGAGAATTCATAATATGTATCTGGAATGAAAATCAGTACACCACCCCCGAGACACCCCCAAAATAAGGGTTGAAAAACAAATATTTATATCTCAGGTTATTACGAGATTACCCACGCGTTTTTTTTTTCATTAATCATTCTATACGGCTAAGAGCAGCATATGAGTAGAAATCCTCAAGGCACTTTCAGTCCAAAATATCCCTAAAATAGGGGTAGAAAAACTAAAACATTTATATCTCAGGTTGTTATGAGATTATCCACCTATTTTTTTCCATGAATTATTCTGTACGGCTAAGAGCATGTGTTGAAAAATCGTGCGTGGGAAATTATTTGAATCATTTCCACCCTGAAATACCCCCAAAATAAGGGATATATACACGGTAATTTGTAGGGTCGAGTTTCGGAATAGGGATGCATAGTAGTGGAATATGACTAATCACGTAACAACCTGAGATATAAAGTTTTAGTTTTCAATCCCTATTTTGGGGGTGTTTCGGGGTGGAAATGACTCAGGGATATTTCTACACATGCCCTTAGCTCTATAGAATGATTTATAAAAAAACAGGTGAATAATTTCGTAAAAACCTGATATAAATATTTTAGTTTTTCTACCCCTATTTGGAGGGTGTTTCAGGGTGGAAATAGCTCGAAGATTTTCCTACACATGTTCTTAGCCGCATAAAATGATTCATAAAAAAAAGTGAATATTGTAACAACCTGAGAGACAAATATTTTAGTTTTTCAACCCTTATGTGTGTAGTCGTACTGATCTCCATTCCAGAATATTATGAATACTTAAATCGATCTAACTCCGATAAATAATAAAAAATGGATAATAATTATTTTCAAAAGCGCTCGTTTCCATGTTCAGGTTTATCGAAATATTCAATTATTTGAGACCTTGATATCTCGAAAAATGTTAATTTCTGGACTTTGGGCCTATGAACACTTTTGATCAGGAGGGTGCCAAGTACAATATATCAAAAATTCAGATGAATCGACCGGGAACCATAAGGTCTGTGCGGGGTTCATTTGTACGAATACTACATACCCCTCATAACTTGAAGCCTTCAATGATTAAGAGTGTAATCCAGGTGCGGAGATATAGAGAAACCGGAGTTAAATATTTCTATGCCACTGACTTTAAAAAAAATTTTGGTGAATTTCTAAATTGCCTGTTCCCCTTAGAGCAAAAAGTGTAACTTTATTTTTTCGGGCGAGCATTCGTTCTCCAGTTATTTGATGTACGATGAAAAGACCAGATTTTCTTCAAAATATTTCCAAGAAAAAGGTTATGTTTTATTCGTAGATTATAACATTTATGGTATTAACAGAATATCACATAATAAATTGAATCAGACACGCTAACACAAACTAATACTGTTTTGTCGACAAATGTTGTTCATCGTTCATGTACCATAAATTAGCTCGTGTCTCTAATGGTACATCTTCCAGAAGTTGGGGTAACGTATCTACTAAGAAGTTATAATACACATCTCCAGTAAGACGCTGTGGAAAATGTAAGGAACAATTAGATAATCTCCTATAATACCTACCCACACATTTATCCTATCCTATTACATGAGTGCATTGATAGATCCATTATTGAATATTTCTTGGGTATGTACGGGGACTTTTTTGGAGCTTCCAAGATGTACTGGGATATATCTAGAATATAATGGATGTACCAATGATGTACTGGAATGTACTAAGAATATATTCGAATTTACAAAGATTTACTACTCGATTAAGCGCATGCGCACTGAGGCAATTTCTTGCCACATTCTTTAAAGATGAACTCCTGAAAAAATAGTTTCCTCCAGATATCTCTGAAGTTGTTCATGATAAGTAAATTAAATTTTGTATTACTGTTACATTGCGACTTTCATATGCTAATCACTCAATATTTTATGTTAAAAATATAAGCATTCTAAAAAAATTTACAATATTAATAAAAAAAGTATTAAGTTTTTAGGGAAATACTTGAATAAAAAATACATATCTATTTATTAAAATGAAAAATGAAATATGAAAAACATAATTTAATTATGTTGATTTAACATTGTTTTCGTCTTGATGATATCATGGGAAACAACTACTATACGAGCTACAGATCTGTCTAGCATTGAATTACATCCACAATATCCACTAAACAATTAAGATCATTCGTGAACAAAATATAGGCTGGTTATTAGATCGTATCAGTATAGCATAGATGAGACAACCGACCAACGATTTAGCATTTGTATCTCTATTTTGAGTGTGAGTAGCCACATAATTTGCATTTGCAGCATGTCAATACGATTCAATGTCTAATGGGATAAAGCATTGGCTTTTGTTCATTGGCAGAGAGCGACCTACTCACCTGTAGGTACTATGGAAGCATGAGTAGCGTCGTCCTATAGGCGCTACACCTACCCAACCGAGCAGAAAGGCGCCAAAATTTTCACCACACTTTCGAAGACTTCCCACCAAGTCGCCCCGATTGCCGCCAAATGCCCAGCGCCGCCGGTATCAGACGTAGATGACGGCGCATACCCTTCAATGCCGAGAAACCACCAACAGAGCAGGACGGCACGAAAATCTTCGCCACACTTTTTAAAATCAGCTCAGTAAATCCAAAACTCATACCCCAAAACACTAACATAAATAATTTTCCCCAACTCTTTAGAAAAGGCCACCATCTACAAAGGAATTAAAGGATGGCCCAAAATAAAAAATGAGATCGAGGACCATGATGTTCAATAACCAGTGTTGGAACCTGGCCAATACACATGTACTGACAAATATACATATGCATTTATTTATAAGCAATTAGTCGTTTACGTTTATTATTCTACATAAATTACTCAATAAACCTCACAATTTTTAAAAAATTCAAATTGAGTTATTTTTACACTACTGTTACACCACCCAGGCCTTGATCGTTGATGATCCTTAGAGATACACAGTTCCTAAAGCTGCAATACATACAGCTCCTAAAGCTTCCACAAACTAGCCCTAGGAGGCAAATGAAATTAATTGAGCTCCTAAAACTCTAAGGAGGCTCACACACTCATATACTTTATGCCAGTACCACATTGTAGTGATAAAAATACACAAGAGTATCATATTCGACAGTGCTCCATAAAAGAGTGCAAACATTACATAACAAAACAAAACACACTCATAAATTAAAAACATATCATAAGTATCAGTGCATCTTTAGGTACACAAATAAGCGTAGACCATTATTACGATCTCGTCATCAATGGAGGAAGACTGACAGCTTCCCAAGCATTCGTTGAAAGAAGAAAGAGGAGATGTCCGAGCATCCTGGAAATCTTGCAGACGAGCAGACGACTAACCTCCCAACACCACAGGCAAAGATGTGGTCCTCAGGAACCGTTGCTCAATCCGATTCTGACATGAGGGTGGAATATGATAAGAGACTGTGGATAGGTCAATTCAAACAACCAATTAAAATCCGTGGCAGTATGGTATGTTTTATAATAAAAACGGATAACTTTTGAAAATAAAGTTATATGGCTTTTATCTCAATTTTTTGGTATAACCATATGGGTAACTAAATAAGAGGGTTTTATGCTGTGTCTTCTGTCGGCAGCAGCGGCAGAGTACGCCATCTCTAGCTGATGCAGCAAACGACACACTCGGAAACCACTGACCATAAAATAATCAAGGAAACTGCATGGGAAAACACAATTAATGGCGGTAAATTTAAATGTAATAAAATATACTAAGAATAAAAAGTATTTTATAAGTAGGTAATAATAGATCACAAGACAGCTACTAATGGTTTAAGTTAATAATTAAAATTAAGGTGAACCATTAACAGCTGTTCCACGACCCATTACTTATGAAACACTTTAATT